GTACATGTGATATAATGCACCCTGGACATAAAGTTGTTTATATTTGCAACACACAATTGAAAATATTCCTATTAATATTATACAACTACATCAATTTCCAGTAGCAGTTTCTTGTTTTACATGTAATTCTCATAATTTAATAAACAAGCTACATGTAAAACCCATGTTCCACATCATCTCTCGTAAACTGCTCCTAAACTCTAAAACAAATATGAACCCCCCTACTCAATTAGTATCAATACACACTTACAAAATCTTTGCATAACTAGTGAAATAAACATTTTAGACTGGGATGATGTTAGTATGCATTGCCCTCTAATGGCCTTAAATGTAAACTGCAACAAAAAGGACAACAGTGTCAACAACAGCTAACTTCATCTAAAATAGGAAATGATTTATTTTAAAAGTGCTATCTCAGAATGATTGAATAACCCAATAGAGATCTGCTCAGTAATAGTCAGTCCTCTAAGTGTGTGCAGTTTAAGAGACTTTAGACACAAGTTGCTGCTGCCTTTCAGTTCCACAACATGTACAATTACAATCTATTAATCACTTTGTTGTTTTGTTTCACAGCAGAAATCACTGCATGGTGGCATTTTGCACAAAAAGGAAATTATACAACATCTGGGCAACACCACACTATTGTTGGAGAGACTTTCATGTTTGGAACATAACAGAAGAATAGATATAGGAAACACTTCTGAGGTAGACTTCCTTTCATAATCATCTAGTCCTGCGTCAGCATTAAAGAAAATCTTTGGGGTGGGATAAAAACACAGTTCAGTCCACTATGAGTGCAGCCGGCCATTGTTGTTGAAAGCAGCTTCTTTTCCAGATAATGAGACAAAGCACATTGTTCTGGTTCTGTTTTGCTTTTGGCTTCATTCTCTGAGCTCGGGGTCAGTTGAGGATAGCGCTGACTCTAAATGTTTTTGAAATAGTAGTTAGTTTCAGTTCTTCACCATTTTATTAAGTTTCATTAAAGCACAGTTATTAAGTGTTAATGTCGCAGAATGCTGTGCTTATGTTTGGGTGTCTTTTGAGTTAGGTTAAATTGGTCAAAAATGACAAACTGAGTAATCTGAACAACTCCGGAAAAATGATTCTACACTTCCATAGTTTTTTATTTTTCACAGGTCAAATACTTTGTGTCCAATGTGAACTTTGCAAAATGCATATCAACAAATGAACAGTATGTGATTTCAGGGCCATGACTGATAATGCCTTTTACTTTTCTTTTTTTTCGACAATCCAGAGAAGGGGCCCCATGTTGACCCACTAAAGGAATCTAATCTATTAGAACCTCATGTTCACAAAGAAATTGATTAATGAGACATTCCACCACCCTGACTACTTCCCTGCACTTGGCCCCACATATCTTGTTGCTTTTACTGAAGTAGAAAGGTGTGTTTCTTCCACTATTTTTCTACATCAGTATCAAGTGTTTTCTCTGGACAGTTTTATGTAAAGAACTTTAAATGATTTCATCTTGATGTTTAGAATATCAAACCTGTTGTGCACTGTGCCGACAGCAGCTGTTTCCCAAGTGAAGTCTGCTCTCATATTTCCTCCAACTCTGACTTCATGGATCAAGAATTTAAGGATTTATTACACCTTGGGTAGTGAGCATATTTACAGGGTATAGGGTTAGGGTTACTATTGCAGATAGTGCTATTAAAATA